CCCGCCGCCCGGCAGGCGCCTGGGAGAGGCGCGTCCCCCGGCTGTTTCCATTTGGTGGTTCTGGCGGCGGTGTTGCTGATCTTTGCTCCCTTTGCTTCTTTAGGGAGGGGAGAGATGGGGATGAGTTCTTGTTTCCTGCGTGTATGTTGTCATGAGTCAGAGTGGGACTGGCTGCCTCACATTGGGTCTTGTCCCCCTGCAAAGGAATGGGAAGAGACCATATCCTCCATCCCAGCCTGTTGCCCGTAAATCTATGTTTTTTTCTTTAAAAAAAAAAACACCACAAACTGTATTGTTGAAAGTATTACAGATATCCCCTTTCCCCCCATTAACTCCTCCACCCCTCACCCGCCCCCCTCCAGGCCTTCTATTGTTTGTGTCCCTGGGTTATGCATATATGCATATAAGTTCTTTGGTTAATTTCTTCCAATCTTCCCCTCTTCCCTCAGAATCCTGTTGGTTCCATGCCTCTGTGTCTCTGGATCTGTTTTGTTCATCAGTTTATTTTGTTCATTAAAAACCACATATGAGTGAGATCATGTGATACTTGTCTTTCTCTGCCTGGGTTATTTCGCTTAGCATGACACTCTCCAGTCCCTCCGTGCTGTCTCAAAGGTTACGAGATCCTTTTGTTTTTGTATTTACAGGTGCGTAATATTCCATGGTGTAAATGTACCACAACTTTTTTATCCACTCCTCTACTGATGGGCACTTGGGCTGTTTCCAGATCTTAGCTATTGTAAATGGTGCTGCTCTGAACATAGGGGTGCATATATCCTTACTGATTGGTGTTTTGGGTTTCTTAGGAAATATTCCCAGAAGTGGGATCACGGGGTCAAATGCGGTTCCATTTTTAGTTTTTGGGGGAAACTCCATACTGTTCTCCACAGTGGCTGCACCAGTCTGCATTCCCACCAGCAGTGCACAAGGGTTCCCTTTTCTCCATGTCCTTGCCAGCACTTGTCATTTGTTGATCTGTTGATAGTAGCCATTCTGTCACCTTACTCTTTAGGCAGGAGAAAGTGGTAGAGAGATTTAACATCTTCCACACCAGGAGAAGGGGATTTCAAAATATGGAGCTCGACTTGGAAGCAATTACGCACAAAGCACCATTCAGGAAATGCATCGCTCACTCTGCAAAGCTTTATGCCCTGCTTTGGCTAAGGACTTTTGACTTATGTGTGTTGTTTCTTCTCATATTTCAGTTTACATATATTGCTGTGAATCAAGACATCATATCTGCCAGGAGCAGATATGGACTGGGCTTAACTGTATAGATGTTTCTTTTTAAATCACAGAAACCAGAAATGAGGTTGAGTGAAAAGCAATGATGAGCTCTGGTATAGGAGAACTGCCTGCACTTTAAAAATTTCCCGTTCTTGCTGAGTGGTACTTATTTGTAAACTGGTTTTCATTTCTAGGACAGATTTTGGTTTTTATTTTTTCTTGAATGTACTGTGACACAGCACTGATGAAGTTGGACCTCAGTGGTTCAATTTTATTTACTTTAATTGTTTTGATTCCTATCTCCATGCCCCTTTCAAAAATGGACTTTGATCTAGTATTCTTTTTGGCCTGTCAAAGCTGAATAACAAAATTTTGCCTTTTTAATTTTTTTAAATTGATTTCAGAGAGGAGGGGGGGGAGAGATAGAAACATCAAGGATGAAAGATTCATTGATTAGCTGCCTTCTGCACGACTCCCCCCGACTCCCCCCTGGCCGGGAGGGACGGGGTTGGGGGTGGGGGATCAAGCCCACAACGCAGACATGTGCCCTTGGCTGGAATCAAACCTGGAACCCTTTAGTCCACAGGCTGACGCTCTATCCGCTGAGCCAAACCAGCTAGGGCAAAGTTTTGCCTTTTTAGTTTGTCCAAGTCACACATGTGAGTTTTCCCATAGGAGTAAAATGTAGGCCAAATCAGAACTAAAGTAGAATCACACTACTTTTAATTTGGCCCACTTGTGTGTTATCATTCCTAATTCTGTATCTTGTTCCTCTCCTTTCCTCATCAAGTTAGATATTTTTCATTATTTATTCATTCAGCAAATGGTAGAGTGCCTACTGCATGCCAGGCATTGATGGCAGGAGTCAGCTTTTGCTATAGTCTCATTTGGAAGCTGATCCATACCTCTATTTCACTGGCTGCCTGAAAGTAATTTGAGCAAAGTGCTGTGGGAACTTAAAAGGAAGCATTTCTGCTTGGAATTTGTTAGGGAAGGCCTCACATAGTCAAAATCCCACTTCATATTGGTGTGGAATTTTGCCAGGTACATTGTGAGCAGAGGGGCTAACATAGAGGGTGTTGGATTATGAGATCTGCATATAGTTAATCCGGTTGAAGCACACAGTGTCTGGGGTTGGTGTGGTAGTCAGGGGCTGGTGTGGTAGTCAGGGGCCGGTGTATTACTCATTTCAGAGCACTTAGCACTTTGTCTTGCTCACAGCAGGCACTCAAATATTTACTGAACTGAATTGAACAGAAACATGAAGGATTTTGTCTGCCAAATTAAGAAAATTGGACCAAGAGAATGTCATAATGACATTTGCATTCCAGAAAGATATCTGCAGCAGTGGAGAATAGTGAGGTCCAGATGGGGGTTAGGGAGACAAAATAGGAGCTGTTACACTATAGGCGGTAAGTGCTCAGGGCTTCTCGATTCATAATTGTCTGGGTTTGAATCTGGCTGTGTCACTCACTATGTACCCTCTTTTTTTCCTTAGGTTCTTCATTTCATAGGGGTTGGGGGATGAAACTTGGAAAAACATCTATATTACTTAGAATAATGTTTGGCACGTGGTTAGGACTTGGTAAATGTGAGTTATTTTGAGTGCAGGCAGTGGAAGTACAAATGATGTGTCTTTTAGGAGGTATAATTGGTTGGATTAGGTAAGTGACTGGATATGATTAATGAGAGAGGGATCGTTCCTAGGTTTTTTGACTGGAGGCATTGGAGTGTACTGGTTAAGCTTGCTGGGGAATCAGAACAAGGGTTAAATTCTGTTACTTACCCTCAGAATTACCATCCTGAGTGTTGGTTTCCTAATGTTTCAGAAATGATCATAGTACCTGTCTAGTAGGTTTTGAAGATCAAATGAAATTAAGCACATAATGCCCTTGGCAGAGTACCTAGTACATTACAAGTGCTCAATAAATATTAGTTGTTTCTTTAGTGATGACGACATTAATGAGCTAATGGAATGTTAGACGATATGAGAAGGAGCAGTTAAAAACAATTGGTGGTAGGAGTGGGGAAGGGAAGATAAATTAGTTTTGGACCAACCTAGTCAGCTGCTAATGGATGGTTGAGATGTCTGATGAAGTTGTTGGACAGATGTATCCAACAGGAGCTAGGAAAGAATGGAAAGAAAAAAAACTAAAGCCTTTGTGGGTTTGGTACACTTTCTGGAAGATATGGGTAAAAGGAAGTCAGAGAAGTGGTTTATGCTATAGCAATACCAGGAGTGTTGATGTTGAATATTAGGCATCTCTAAAATCTTTAAAGTACATTTGGCCACCACCACAGGGGAACTCCAGGCTCATATAATCTGATTGGTTCTGTGCCTTTCCCCCTTCTTTCTCTCCTTTCTGATTGCCCCCCAA